TCTCCGCCAGGAATTCCATGGTGTAATACATATTTTAAGGTTGGGGATCATCAACAGGCTTTTGGCATCTCTGGGAATTGACAGGATACAGGGAGTGGGCAGGAAAGTGGAGCTAAAGCCCAAGATCAGCCAGGATAGTACTGGATGGGTGAGCAGGCTCAGTGGGCCGAACGGTCTATCCCTGTTCCTGTTTGTTGCGCTCACGCATCAAGCCTCCCCCCGCCACCACCACCCCCCCAAAACCTCCAGAGCCAGGGAGGGCAATCCCAGTTTATAAACCAAGTCGGCTCACCCCCCGCTGTTCCGTTCTAGTATAAGTCCACTCCTTGCTCTCTCCGAGGCCTGGTCATCCTTACAAAAGGTGCCCAGCCCAGAACTCTAGACAAGTCACCTTCTGGAAGGGGTCAGACTCAGGAGGGAGCAGGGATGGAAGCGGTTTATAGGAAGGTTTAGCCCGAGCAGCGCTACCTTCTGGGTCTCATCCTTTTTCTCTTGCTTGAGGATATCGGTTAGATTGATGAGCTTCTCCATTGCCTCCACCTGCCGAATCAGGTGCTTCAGGTACATGCCACAGGCTCGACAGAAAGACTCCAGCAGCAGGCCAAACCTCTGGCTCACTGTCTTGTTGTGCATTTCCGACCTGCGGAGGTGAGGGGTGGGCAGTCAGAATCGTTTTGGCCCAGCAAGCGCGCGCACCGAGCTCTGTGAACACTGGCTGTAAGGGGGAGGAACTGCCAACACCATCTTCCCTACCCTTACCCCACCCCACTTGCCCTGGATGGGGGCGGCCCCAACAACACTCGAGACGCTCGATACCATCCAGGGACAGAGCAGCCCCCGCTTGATCGGTGCCACATCCACAAACATCCCACTCCCTCCCCCCACCGACGCTCAGTCGCAGCAGTGTGTACCATCTACAAGACGCGCTGTAGGAATTCACCAAAGATCCCCAGACAGCACCTTCCAAACCCACGACCACTTCCATCCGGAAGGACCAGGGCAGCAGATACATGGGAACACCAGCACCCTGCAAGTTCCCCTCCACTCCCCATCCTGACTCGGAAATATATCGCCGTTCCTTCAGTGTCACTGGGTCAAAGTCCTGGAATTCTCTCCCTAACAACGTTGTGGGTCTACCTACAGCACATGATGGCAGCGGTTCAAGGCAGCAGCTCACCCCCACCTTCTCAAGGGGCAAATGCTGGTCAGCCAGCATCGTCTGCACCCCACAAATAAATCTTTTCACAAAATGCTGTTTTAGTTTATTTGCATTGTACTCAGCAGAATAGCAAGAATACCAAATCTCAAATCAAGCAATTAAGGGTCTTTCAAGCCGACAACCAGCCGATGCACACTAATTCAGCATAAATTATTGTTCCCTTTGAGATTTGGCATTCTTGCAAACTTGTTCTGACAAGTGCAACATGAAAAACCTCATTGTCCTGGCCCCTTTAAGAAAAAGGGGTCCTCCAATTAGATCAGGATCCCTACAGTGGGGAAACAGGCCCTTCAGCCCAACAAGTCTACACTGACCCTCAGAGCATCCACCCTAACCTGCACATCCCTGGGCACTATGGGACAATTTAGCACGGCCAATCCACCCTAACCTGCACATCCCTGGACACTATGGGGACAATTTAGCACGGCCAATCCACCCTAACCTGCACATCCCTGGGCACTATGGGGACAATTTAGCACAGCCAATCCACCCCAACCTGCACATCCCTGGGCACTATGGGGACAATTTAGCACAGCCAATCCACCCCAACCTGCACATCTTTGGACTGTGGGAAGAAACCGGAGCACCCGGAGGGAAACCCACACAGACACTCAATTCTGCGCTACCACATGACTACAAGTTTGAACTTTTAAAAAAAAAAAAAAAAAAAAAACTTGCACAGGATGAGGGCGTTGCTGGCTAGGCCAGCATTTATTGCCCATGCCTAATTACCCAGGAGGCAGCTTAAGAGACAACCCATTGGCTGTGGGTCTGGAGTCACATGTAAGCCAGACAGGCAAGGATGGCAGTTTCCTTCCCTAGAGGACATTAGCGAACCAGATGGATTTTCCCTGACAATTGACAACGGACATCATTAAATTCCTAACTCTAGGCTTTTTCCAGAAATTAAATTGAAATTCCACCATCTGCCATGGTGGGATTCAAACCCGGGTCCCCAGAACTTTACCTACATCTCTGGATTAATAGTCTAGTGGTAACACGACTAGGTCATCACCTCCCCCAGTGATTCTGATTTGTTCCACTTCCATTGGAGGTGGCTCAGAAGTGGGATCGGTTGGGGATAAATCCCCCGCAAGGTGGGGGTGGCGCAGGGTTTGGGTTGGTTCTCACTCACTTCAGGTGCCAGAAGAAAAAGTGGCCAATCCTCTGGTTGGTTAAGGCTTTCTTCAGCAGGAACCTGCCCAGTGGATTATCCAGATACTGCTCGTACTTCAGGACCTGTGGAGAAACCCGGGCACAAAAATGAGGCAGACAGATTCAGTGCGATAACAGCTTGCTTGCTCGCCCGCACCAAACAGTGGCCCAAGACAGCAGATGCGATGCCTGGGAATACAAGTCAATATTTATGGAACGAGCAGCCAGAATATGGAACTGTTTGAGCACTGCACATTAAAAAAAAAATATGATTTTACCATGCAATTCCTTGAAAATGAGAGCTGTTAGCCATCTTGGTGGAGGTCAAGTGATTTTGGACAGCAGACAAGCAAAGCTTTTAGGAGAGATAACAGAATGGTTCACGGCTTTAGTTGACTGACGGATTTAGTGTGGAAAGAGAGAAGGTCTATGTTGACAGCGGCACGGTGGCTCAGTGGTTAGCACTGCTGCCTCAGTGCTGGGGACCCAGGTTCGATTCTCCCCATGTCTGCATGGGTTTCCTCCCACAGTCCTAAGACTGTGCAGATTAGGGTGGATTGACCGTGCTAAATTGCTCATGGTGTCTGGGGCACGTGCAGGCTAGGCAGATTAGCCATGGGAAATGCAAGGTTACAGGGATTGGGTAGGAGCGTAGGTCTGGGTGGGATGCTCTTTGGAGGGTTGGTGTGGGCCTGATGGGCCGAATGGCCTGTGTCCAGACTCTGGGGATTCTATGATTCTAACAGCCTTTTAAACTTTGAGTTCAGTGCACACCTAGATGTGTCAGTTGGAGGAGCTAACCTCCGAAGAACCTAGCAGCAAAAATAAACTTCTTTCTACCTCACCTGAAAACAAACCCCTTACACAGCAGGACACGTTACACAGATCGTAAAGGAGCGGATTGGGAGGCAGATACTGGAAAGGTGCAGAAGTCACAGAGTTGTCGTCATGGGTGACTTCAACTTTCCAAATATTGATTGGAAACATTTTAGTTGTAATAGTTTAGATGGAGCGGATTTTGTCCAGTGGGTTCAGGAAGGATTCCTGACACGGTATGTAGATAGAGCAACATGAGGAGAGGCCTCTTTGGATTTCGTGCTTGGCAATGAACCAGGCCAAGTGTTAGACCTGTTGGTAGGAGAGCACTTTGGCAGTAGCGATCATAACTCTGTTATTTTACAATAGTCATGGAAAAGGACAGGTACATACAGCAGGGCAAGGTTTATAATTGGGGGAAGGATAATTATAATTCTGTTAGGGAAGAACTGGGTAACAGAAAATGGGAACAGATGCTGTCAGGGAAGAGCACTATTGAAGCGTGGAGATTGTGTGTGTATACTGTGAGCATACTGTGTGTGCTCGATACGTTTGTCCCTAGCAGGCAGGGAATATGCGGTCGAGTGAGGGAGCCTTGGTTCTCAAGAAAGGTCGAACGTCTGGTTAAGAGGAAGAAGGATGCTTATATAAGGTTGAGGAAACAAGGAACGGAAAAGGCTCTAGAGGGATACAAGTTATCCAGGAAGGAGCTGAAGAAAGAGCTTAGGAGAGCTATAACTGGGCATGAGAAAACCCTGGCAGATAGGATCAAGGAAAACTCCAAGCCTTTTTACACGTACGTGAGGAATAAGAGAATGACCAGAGAAAGGGTAGGGCCAATCAAGGATTGTAAAGGGAATTTGTGCACGAAGCCTAAAAAGATAGGAGGGGTCCTTAAATGAATACTTTTCTTCGGTATTCACAACTGAGAGGGACCTAGTTGTAGTGGAGGACAGTGTGAAACAGGCTGGTCAGCTAGGAGGTCAATGTTAGTAAGGAAGATGTGCTAGGAATTTTGAGGAAGTTGAAGATAGATAAGTCCCCCGGGCCTGATGGGATTAATCCAAGTATTCAATGGGAAGCGAGGGAAGAGATCGCAGGGCCTTTGACGATGATCTTTTCATCCTCACTGTCCACGGGTATAGTGCCGGAAGACTGGAGAGAGGCAAACGTCATTCCCTTGTTCAAAAAAGAGGGAATAGGGATAACCCTGGAAATTACAGCCAGTTAGTCTTACATCAGTGGTGGGCAAATTATTGGAAAGGGCTCCGAGAGATAGGATTTATGATCACTTGGAAAGGCACAGTTTGATTCGTGATAGTCAGCATGGATTTGTGAGGGGTAGATCATGCCTCACAAACCTTATTGAATTCTTTGAAGAGGTGACCAAACACGTGGATGAAGGTAGAGCAGTGGATGTGGTATACATGGGATTTAAGTAAGGTGTTTGATAAGGTTCTGCATGGTAGCCTCATGCGGAAGGTAAGGAGGCATAGGATAGGGGGAAATGTGGCAGATTGTCTTCTAAGGGTCAGCCAATTCTGAATTCAAAGGGTGGTAGTGGACAGAAAATATTCAACATGGTGCTCAGTTATGAGTGGTGTACCACAAGGATCTGTGCTGGGTTCTCTTCTATTTGTGATTTTTGTAAATGATTTGGATGAAGGAGTGGAAGGGTGGATTAGCAAGTTCGCAGACGATACGAAGGTGGGTCGCGTTGTGGACAGTGCGGAGGGCTGTTCTAGGTTACAAAGGGACATTGATAGGATGCAGAGCTGGGCTGAGAAGTGGCAGATGGAGTTTAACCCTGAAAAGTGTGAGGTGATTCATTTTGGAAGGACAAACTTGAAAGCAGAATACAGGGTTAATGGAAAGATTCTTGGCAGCGTGGAGGAGCAGAGGGATCTTGGGGTCCATGTTCACAGCTCCCTGAAAGCTGCCACCCATGTGGATAGAGTTGTTAAGAAGGTGTATGGTGTGTTAGCTTTCATTAATAGAGGGATTGAGCTCAAGAGCCGAAGTTATGCTCCAGCTGTACAAAACCCTGGTTCGGCCACATCTGGAGTATTGTTCTGGTCGCCCCATTACAGGAAAGATGTGGAGGCGTTGGAAAAGGTGCAGAGGAGATTTACCAGGACGTTGCCTGGAATGGAGGGAAGGTCTTATGAGGAAAGGTTGAGAGAGCTAGGGCTTTTCTCTTTAGAACGACGAAGGATGAGAGGTGACTTGATAGAGGTGTACAAAATGATCAGAGGTATAGATAGAGTAGACAGCCAGAGACTTTTTCTTAGGGTGGAGGTAGCTATTATGAGGGGGCATAGTTTTAGAGTGAGTGGAGGTAGATATAGGGGAGACGTCAGAGGTAGGTTCTTTACTCAGAGTGGCAGGGGCGTGGAATGCATTGCCGGAGAGCATAGTGGAGTCCGCCTCATTAGGGGCATTTAAGTGGCTATTAGATAGGCATATGGACGATGGTATAAGGTAGGGGGTGGAGGTTAGATAGACCTTAGGATTAGGGTAAAAGTTCGGCACAACATCGTGGGCCAAAGGGCCTGTACTGTTCTATGTTCTATCTCTCTCAGTAAAAGCATCTTCTGAGAACCTTAGAGTCCCAAATTCAGCATCATTGACATTGTCAAATTCAAAAACTAATTGACCTGCCATTAGAAGCAAGGGTGGATTTAAAGATCTCATTGAGTCTACAGCCGACAGCACTGCAATTACCCAAACAGGGAGTCAACAGGCCCAGGAGAACTATTTCCTTAAAAAGGATGCCCTCTCAGTTTGAGCCCTTGACCCTCTAGGTTATTTACCCCAATTGTTTTTCCTTTAAATAAAAGCCCATGTCAGCTCTGCAGAGGTGTGTTAGAATCACAGAATCCTTAGAGTGTGGAAGCAGGCTGTTTTGGCCCATCAAGTCCACACCGACCCTCTGAAGAACATATCCCTGTAACCCTGCACTTCCCATTGGCCAATCCACCTAACCTGCACATCCCTGGGTTGTGTGGTCTGCGGTGCGACCATGTGGGTGTTTGAGATCAAGGGGATGTATAGTTTAATTCAAAATAGCAGCTGATCTTTTGACCAGATTTTTTTCATTTATTGCAAGAATAAGTCTGTTTGTAATAAACATTCTTTTTGAGTTTACTGCAATAACGGCAAACACTCCTTTTATTCTGGAGCATGATTAAACTAAAAAAAAAAACAAATTGCTGATTAAACATTCCCACTTTTGGTACATCTTGTGAAGCATGTTGCGGCTGTACAGGACATTGGTGAAGCTACTTTTGGAATACTGCATGCAATTCTGGTTTCCCTGCTACAGGAAAGATGTTGTGAAACTGGAAAGGCTTCAGAAAAAGGTGCTGCTGGGGTTGGAGGGTTTGAGCTGTAGGGAAAGGCTGAATAAGCTGGGGCTATTATCCCTGGAGTGTCAGAGGGTGAGAGATGACTTTATGGAAGTTTATAAAATCAGGAGAGGCATGGATAGGGTGAATCATAGAATCCCAAAGTGTGGAAGCAGGCCATTTGGCTCATCGAGTCCACACTGACACTCTGAAGAGCATCCCATCCAGACCCATGGACCCCTACCATAGGAAGCAGGCTGTTCGGCCCCTTGAGGTCTTTCCCCCAAGGTAGCGGAGTCTGAAAGTAGACAGCATAGGTTTTAAGTGAGAGGCGAACGACTTAAAATGGACCCAAGGGGCAACTTCTTCATGTAGAGGGTGGTGCATGTAAGGACTGAGCTGCCAGAGGAAGTGGTGGAGGCTGGTACGATTACAACATTTAAATGGCATCGGGATGGGTACATGAATAGGAAGGGTTTGGAGGGATATGGGCCAAATGCTGGCAAATGGGACCAGATTTATTTAGGATATCTGGTCGGCACGAATAAGTTGGACCAAAGGATCTGTTTCTGTGCTGTACGTCTCTATGACGCTAGAGGGGCTCAACTGGCAGTGCACTTGTTTTGTTACTGTCAGAACACAATGCTAAACGACATAGGAGCACATAATTGGGAGCGTTTTTGTGAAGGTAAAGGATGTGTTAACAACGTGAAACCAAACTGAAGATACTAGCAATTCGGAAGACCAAAAAAAAAAAGACCATAAGACGAACTCACTTGAACCAGCTGGATGAGGTACTGAGAGAGACGGTCATCAGTTAGCCCTTTAACCAAACACTTCACTGCAAACTCTCGCACCACTGGATCAGGGAAGTTGCAGTCCAAAAGCTCAAGTGCCTGCTCTGGTTTAATAAGTGGCCAGTCTTTCAGCAGGCAATACATCTGTGGAGAGAGGGGTGGTGGAAGAGACAGAGACAGAAACTGTGGCGAGATGTTACAAACCGATAGAGGTGGAATGTCCCAAAACGTACACCCATTGGAGCGGTCTCCATCCCAACTCACACACTGGCTTCTGAGGTCACAGTCAATAAGGTCATGACTGATCTGAATGGTCTACTCCCAGTTTGTAAGCAACAAGCTTTGGCCAACAGGTAGGCAAGGTCGGGAGCAAATCTTTAGAAACAGAAACTTTAGTTTATTTTTAAAAAATTTTTCCATGAAAATGGCAACGTCAACATTTACTGCCCTCAGTGACTTGCTTGAGCATTTCAGAGACTAGCCAAGAATCAACCCCATTGCTGCGGGTCGGCAGTCACATGTAGGCGGGAGCAGGTACAACTGGGGGATTTCCTTCGCTTATACAAAACAGTGAACCAGATGGGTTTCTTTAAAACAGCAAATAGATGGTAGTTGTCATGGGCGCGCGCATACATACACACACACACACCCCCACTTGTGGTGTGCAACACATGTTCAAAAAGGACAGTGGAAGGAGTTTCTGTAAGAACTTTCAATGGGGGAAGTTGGCTAATTGCAGAGTCAGAGACATACAGCACGGAAACAGACCCTTCGGCCCAACTTGTCCATGCCGATGATGTTCTAAATTATTCTAGTCCTGTTTTCCAGCATTTGGCCTGTATCCCTCTTAAACCCTTCCTGTTCATAATCCCATCGAGACCCACCCCCTTACCCTATCCCTATAACCCTAATCCACCCAACTTGCACATCCCTGGACACAATGGGACAACTTAGCATGGCCAATCCACCCTAACCTGCATGTCTTTGGACTGTGGGAGGAAACCGGAGAAAACCCACGCAGACACGGGGAGAACGTGCAAACTCCACACAGTCAGTCGCCCGAGGGTGGGATCAAACCCAGGTCCCTGGCGCTGTGAGGCAGCAGTGCTAACCACTGAGCCACTGTGCTGCCCACTCTCGTCCCTACAAGTCCATAAAGTGTCAACTACACTAAATCAGAAATCTCATACCTCAATCTTATGCAAATAACATTGAGACACTCAGAACAGTGAACACAGAAAGAGTTTACAATCACTAAAAAGATGTCATTGAAGGAGAGTCTCCTGTTCCTTCTTTATGGCAAAACCAAAAATCCCTGCCAAGCGAATCCTTTTTGAGAGTCTGGGCTCTCAGCCAAACAGTCATATCCAGCCAAACAGGGTTTTGGGAAAAGGGTCACTGGACTTGAAATAGTTATTGTTTCTCTCTCCACAGACCTGTCAGTCAGGTTTCCTCAGCATTTTGTTGTTTTTATTTCAGATCCTCAAAATTCATTTTATGGGATGTAGCATCGTTGGCTAGGCCCAGCATTTCTTGCCCGTCCCTAACTGCCCCCTTGAGAAGGTGGGGGTGAGCTGCCTTCTTGAATCGCTGCAATCCACCTGCTGTGGGTTGACCCACAATGTCCCTTGGGGAGAGAATTCCAGGATTTCGACCCAGCGACAGTGAAGGAATGGCGATACATTTCCGAGTCAGGACGGGGAGTGGCTCGGAGGGGGCGATGTTCCCATGTATCTGCTGCTTTTGTCCTTCGACGTGGAAGTGGTTGTAGGTTTGGAAGGTGCTGTATGAGGAGTGTGGGTGAATTCCTGCAGTGGGACTTGGTAGCTGGTACACACCGCTGCGACTGAGCGTTGGTGATGGAGGGAGTGGATGTGCTGCCAATCAAGTGGGAGCTGCTTTGTCCCTGGATGGAGGAGGTTCCTGAGTATTATTGGAGCTGCACCCATCTGGAATTCTCTGGTTTAGTTCTACCTCCTCCATGTGCCCTAATTTTGCACGTGTGCGCACGCACGTGCGTCTGTGTAGAAGATGGATAATACTGCCACCAACTCCACTTGTTGAATGAGGAGACCTACACAGCAGAAGGCAGAGGACACACAGACCCTGCGGTGAACAGAGCACACGACTGACACGAGACAACAGTGCGCAGCAGCAAGGGGTTTACACTTGTGCTCTCTCTCTGGCCCTGTCTCATATGTACGTTTAATCAGCACCTCCCTTCCCCCGCCAGCACCACGTCCCACACCCCAGTCACTGGGCGGGGGCGAGCCTTTGTTACCTGAGCCACCTCATCACGCGAGTTCCACTTCACAGATAGCAGCAACTTGGGCAGCGTCTCGGGTATGTTGACACAGTAATGCCTATAGAAAGAGCAGACAGGATCACTCAGCACCCTTCCAATTCCCACCACAGGCACCATCTCAACAGCGAAGGCCTACTGACTCCTGCCTGTTCTTCATTCGTTACAGACTGATAAGATTCAATATTTGACTACAGAAGGCATCACTGTCACCCTGTCCCCACCAGTACTGTACCCCAGTGTTATACAGCGACAGACCCCGTCCTCACTGGTACTGTATCCCAGTGTAATACAGCGACAGACCTGTCCCCCGCTAGTACTGTACCCCAGTGTTATACAGCACAGCATACCATAACAATGCCTTTACCTGTGTCTCCACAGGAAGTCCTTCTCCTGTTCTGTGATCTCAGACAGTGGGTCACGGTTGTAGATATTGCGAAGCTGCTCGATATCACTGTCTGTTAGATTGCTGTCTCGTGCCAGGCGATTACTCTGAGAGGCACACAGAATCAAAAAATATATAATCAGGCAGCGTTCCAGGGACTGACTTGATGGGGGAGGTTGGAAATTTAGAACTGGGACCCTGAAATTCCAGGGAATTAATTGAGATTTCAGGTAAGATCACAACTCTGACTGATGTCTGCCAATTTATGTTGCTATTACAGACAGCGTGAGCAGGGAGCCATTCAACTCCCATGGAACCTGCTTGCACCTTGTGCCCCAGAGCCTACCCAGCCAGATTATTGCTGCAAACTGACTCCACTGCTCTACCTTCTCTCCGTATCCCTTGATGGATTTTGGACACACAAACATCGTTCCCAAAAGACCCACACAACCCTCTGCGCCTACAACCTTGGAGCGGAGTGTTCTAAATGCCACTAGAACATTTTGGTCACACAGATCCCTTGCTCAGTGGCCGGGCTAACTGTGCACCACCACCATCACCACCCCAATTTTCAATTCAACCGCTTTCTCTCGTTTCTGCCCTTCCACGCCGCTGCGCGGAAAAAGATTCCGCGAACAAACCAGGCACCCATCTTTCTACATTAAATGAGATTATGCTTCAAGGTCGGGGGGGGGGGGCGCGTGTGGAAATGGGCAATTTGGCATCAAATTCAGAGGCTGTAAAAGTCGCAATACAAATGAACGACCAATTTCGTTGATTTGTCATATTTTTCAACGGGCTGTGTGTGCGCGTGCCATGGCTGTGGGTGAAAGGAAGATTCAAGAGGCCAGCGTAGCTGAGCGCGGCAGAGAGTGCGCGAGATGGTCTTAAGATACTTGACCCTTATGTTCCTCCTCCTGCTCCCTCAAGCCCCTCCACCCCATCCCATCCTCACGAGGCCCTCAGCACTGGCTCACTCACCAGCCCTACCAGGCAGTAATTGAAACCCAGCTCCCTGGACATGCTCCAGTTTGCGTGTTCCTCTATCTCTGCAGCATCGGGGAACTTCACCGAGTTACTGAACCAGTTAAACTCCAGCTCCAAGCACGGGGTTTCCTGAAAAAGGAGCAAGGGCACAGTGTTAGGCAAAAGCATCACATTCACAGGTTTCCAGATTTACAAGAAAATGATAAATCAGTCGAGGCTGGCTTTGGAATACCATTGGCAAGTCTTGGTTTTTAATCCCCCTTTATCTTTTACCTTCCATCCTCGGGTGGCATCAGCAGTGGCCAGGGAGAAAGTCAGAGCGGACTCCTGGTCTTCAGGGTGAAGCCCAGTGCAGTCTGGTTTGGGAGGACTGTTATTCTAAACACTTATTCCTCTATTTTTCTAATTTATTGCTGTCTTTTTATTCTTCTAGTCTTCCTCCACCCCCCCACCCTGCTAAGAATTTGTACTTTAGAATCTGTACCTTGGTACAGAAGTTGACGCCATAGGTGGCGACTTGTGAACTTTTCACTGTACTCACGCGAGGACATGCGACAGTAAAGAGAATTCTAATTCTCAAGGTCATTATTGTGATGCCGTTGGCCCTTGTCAAGTAGGTAACACCATGTATTATGGGTCATACGTTCAAATCCGGCTCCAGGGTTAAGGTTGTTTTTAAAATTTAAAAAAAAGGAGAAACTCGTGGGATAAACCATTGGTTAGCACAGTAGGTGTTACTCGATGGGCCAAACAGCCTCTAGGCACACTGCAGGGATTCTGCGAAGCTAGCCTGTTGGCAAGTGTGGAGATAGACAAGACTTCTGGGAAAAAGGTCACCCGAGGGATAGAACACCAAAGCTGAATGGCCACAGCAGTCTCACCTTGTTAGGGTTGGATCCTGTCACACCGATGGGATTCAGGAGATCCTCTAGTCCATGAGGCACCGGCCAGAGGTTCAGGGCCATCTTCCCTGATACCAGGTTGTCCATGTAGTCAAACAGGTTGACGTTGCCCCAGGCCAATGGGCAGTGTTCCTGCGCAGGACAGAGTGAGACAATAAATAGCAAGTCAGGCCAATAAACCAATGCTCGGGTTGAGGTGTGTCAGCACCACCGGTCGTGAGTCTTTGGAACTCTTCTCCAGAGAGCACTGGAAGGGCCGTCATAAAATTTCTGTGTTATATTCAGTATTTCAAAAATATTCACTCACTCTCGGAGTGTCAGCACTTATCACCCACCCCAACTGCCCCTTGGAGGTGGTGGTCAGCTGCCTTCTTGAAATACTGCAGTCCACATGTCCTAGGGACCCCCACACAGTGCTGACGGGGACAGCGTTACAGGATTTTGACCCAGCGCCACTGAAGGAACAGCAACGTATTTCCGAGTCAGGATGGTGAGCAGCTCGGAGGGGATCTTGCAGGGGGCTGGTGTTCCCACGTTTCTACTCCCCTTGTCCTTGCAGATGGAAGGGGCCGTGGGTTTGGAAGGTGCTGCCCGAGGAGCCTTGGTGAGTTGCTGCAGTGTATCTCATAGTTACATTAAAGGGGAGGCAATGGCCTAGTGGTATTATTGCTAGACTATTAATTCAGAGACCCAGATAACGTTCTGGGGACCGGGGTTCGAATCCTGCCACAGCAGATGGTGGAGTTTGAACTGAATAAAATATCTGGAATTAAAGAATCTAATGATGACCATGAATCCAGTGTTGATTGTTGAAAAAATTGTTGGTTCGCTAATGTCCTTTAGAGAAGGAAACTGCCATCTTTACCTGGTCTGGCCTCAATGTGACTCCAGACCCACAGCAATGTGGTGGACTCTGAACTGCCCTCTGGGCGATAAATGCTGCCTGGTCAGCAATGCCCTCATCCCGTGGATGAATGAATAAAAGGAGATGCCACCAAGTGGTGGAGGGAGTGGATGTTTGTGGATACAGTGCCAATCAAATGGGGAGGGGCTGCTCTATCCTGGATGGAGTCAAGCTGCTTGTTGGAGCTACACCAACCCAGGCAAGCAGTGTCCAATCCAAACCAATGGTTGGTTGGTTGATTACACATTTCTGAAAGAAACCTCAGTCATACTGGCCTCGAAACATTACGTTTCTCCCTCTGCAGATGCCGTCAGGTACGCTCCTCCAGCATTCAGTTTTTATTTCAGATTTCCACCATCCACAGTATTTTTGCCTTTGTTATACCTTTATTAAAAGTTTGTTTGCTTTACAGCAGAAGGACAAAAAACCTGGGGAGGAATACAAAGGAGCTGGGAGATCAGAAGAAGCAAAAGGGATACCTCATTAAATCCTGTGGCCTGGTGCTACTGAACTGTGTTTCCCCAATCAATAATTTTTCTTCACTCATAACATGGGTGTTTATCTGTCTGTCAGCATGTGTGTGTACAGTTTAAAGAGGGATTAGCACAAACTACGTGGAGTGGCACAGTGGCTCAGTGGTTAGCACTGCCGCCTCACAGCACCAGGAACCCAGGTTCGATTCCACCCTTGGATCACTGTGCAAACTCCACACAGACAGACACAGTCTCCCCATGTCTGCGTGGGTTTCCTCCATGTGCCCTGGTTTCCTCCCACAGTCCAAAAGATGCGCACATTGGGTAATTTAGCAGAGCCAATCCACCTATCGTGTCCCGCAATGTGCAGGCTGGGGGATTACTTGTGGCAAATACAGGGTTACAGGGATAAAGTAGGAAGGACATTTAGATAAGTACATGAATAAGAAAGGTTTGGCGGGATATGGTCCAAGGGGAGGCAGGTGGGACTAGTTTAGTTTGAGATTATGGTCAGCATGGACTGGTTGGGCCAAAGGGTCTGTTTCCGTGCTTTATGACTAACTCATTGATTGATTTTAAGTGATAATAAATAGCTTCTTTTTAAACACACAGAAACCTGCTTAAATCATAGAATCTCTGTAGTGTGAAAGCAGGCCAATAGGCCCATCAAGTCCAAACTGATGGTCTGAAGAGGATCCAACCAGACACACGGCCCTAGCCTTGAAACATTTTGTTGAAAAAGAGGTCAGACTGGAAAACTAGGGGACTGATTACATCTTTAACTTTTGTTACGAGAGCATAGCAAATAGTGTTGCCCTTGTTCTCTGTAGAAGGGCTCTTCTGAAGTGAGCACCTACCCCCTGCCATTCCAATTTCCCACGTACCCACCTCCTTGGCCCCTTTCCTTCCCTTGACAGAGCAGATGGAGAGACAGAGGCGGGCAGCACGTGGGATGTCAATGAGGTAGATGTCATACGAGAGCCATTCGTTCCACCTGGAAAGACACCAGCACAAAAATAAAACAACAATAATCAGCAGCGGCTAGACAAAGGCAGCAAGGAAGACGGGAACAGAAGACTGAATGGAGTGGGGCTACAAAGATAGAACCTGAACTGGAAGTCAGGAGCAAGCAATCAGGTAGGATCTCTATTTCCTCTTGGGGGTTGCGGATGGTTAGAGAGCAGGCCATTCGGCTCATCGGGTTCATGCCGACCCCTTGAAGAGCATCCCACCCTATCCCTGTAACCCTGCGTTTCCCATGGCCAACCCACTTAGCCTGCACATCCCTGAATGCTATGGACAATTTAGCACAGTCAATTCACCCCAACCTGCACATCCCTGGGCCCTACGGGACAATTTAGCACAGTCAATCCGCCCTAACCTGCGCATCTTTGGACTGTGGGAGGAAATCAGAGCACTCAGAGGAAACCAACGCAGACATGGAGAGAATGTGCTAACTCCACACAGACACCAAGGTGCAGGGCTGGATGAACACAGCAGGCCAAGCAGCATCATAGGAGCAGAGAGGCTGACGTTTCGGGCCTAGACCCTTCATCAGAAAA